TGAATATATACAAACATTCAGTACTATTCAATATTCAGCACTATTCTTGCAGCACATACAGAAGGCCTATGCAATATATTCACCTTACTCAGTTGCAACTACTATACGTTTTTACAGAATTACAAAATTGTTTACTCAATACAATATACTTTTTTTCTGTAATGTTCTGGATGCCGTGTTCTCCATTTTTCTCTGTAGTGTCTAATGAATGCTCCATAGTCTTTATTTTATTGACTCGTGTGTGTGTGTGTGTGTGTGTGTGTGTGTGGTCTAATGAATGCTCCGTAGTCTTTATTTTATTGATGTGTGTGTGTGTGTGTGTGTGATCTGAGTGCACCGTTTGATTTTGAGTGCAAGTGAAATGGTTTTGCAGTGATTGTTTTATTTTGATGGAAGAGTCAGACGTTTCGTGAATTTAGTTTGAGTATTTGGATTTGTGTTTAAGGTTTTAAGAAAATGAGTGATGTTTCAAGAAATGTGTTTTAGCAATTCAGAAAAACTGTAAATACTGGTTTGATTTTCAACAATTGGACGCTTATGCCAACTAGAGGCAAGATGAGAAAAACACGTGCTCGGAAACACGAGGGAAACGTCTGTTTCTCACACAAAGCCATTTTACTATAGAACACATTAAAAATACATGGCACGAGTCATATGGGCTACTTTTATTGTGTCTCGTGTTATCATTTTTGAAGCTCGACAGCATTCATCACCATAGAATGGAAAAAGCTCAGTCAACATTTTTGGTAATCGGCTACTTGTTTCAACGGAAGAGATAAAGTCGTTCAGAAACGACAAGAGTGAGTAAATGATGTTCATTTTTGAGACGATCACGTTTTGGAACACATAAAATACTTAAACATGCATGTATTTTCATGAAAATACATTTTTAGAGAAGGAACAATTTTCAATAACCAGTTAATTCATTTTATGGCTTCACACTCGGTAACCTCGTTTTACCTTTCTTCTGACTCTCCGTGATGGATTGTGATAGCTAGGGGTCTGGGTTGTTTTTAAGGCATCATCGAATGAAACTAATTTGACAGGAAATTGAAGAGAGAGAGGATCGCTGGTTAAGGTCACATAGGTAGCAAAGGCAATTTCAGAGATGGATGTCAAGTGTGTTCATGGGGAAATTGTCTTTGTCTCCCTCTCTCGTGACCCCTGTGTATTCAAGCTTTGGTGTTTCTCTGCTTCGGCCTTTAAAGGTGAAGTGTGTCGTTTCTGTGCCACTAGCGGCACTAAACAGAATCACAATCGGTTAGTTTCTGACCAGGCCAGTTTGGCAGAAGTTCAAATCCAAAAGTTTTTGTAACATCCGGACTACTAAAATGCCTTGCAGTAGTCAAGGTTTAGGGTTTCTTTACGTCTGCCTTCAAAGCTGAAGTGTGTAATTTCATCATGACGACTGGCAAGTGAAGTGACTTTTGGGCACTGGTTAATTTTTTCAAAGTTTTAGCATAGACACATATTAATTAAGGGTAGACTATGGAAGATTTCTCATTTCTAGTTTTTCATTATACATGATTATGTTGCCAGTTCATCAAACCAAATTTTAAATAAAAATAAAAAATAAAACAGCAGCAACAAAAGTTGTTCTTTTTGAGTTTGGCAAGTATCTGTAACAGAATGTGACCACATACCGAATACTTTTGTTTTGATATAACTTGGTATAAAAAAGCACAAAAATATAGCACTTTCAACTCTGTTGCATGTCCATTTAAATGACTGTGGCATTAAGCAAATGCACAGTGCATAAGTGCACATTAGATTCATCACAATTATTTTTTATTGATGACTGTTTACCAAAAATACACTTCAGCAGACATTTGATTTTGCCTTTGAAACTATAAAAAGCACAACAAAAAGTTATGAAAGCATACAATACATCTGTAACAAAATCCCCAAAATTAAAAAATAAATAAATAATAAAAATAAAAATAATAAAAAGGATGAGCAACAATCAATGGGCCAGAAACATGATGGATTTTTAAGGTACTTATGAATGCAACAATCATTGAGAAGCTCATTGTTCAGATTCACAAAAAAGCTAATATAATACTGAATGAAAGTGCAATTTTAGCATTTTATGCTGCAGATTCATCCCCCCCCCCCAAGTTCTTTAAGACAATAGAGCATCTGCATGTCAGAAGTCACAGTTTTGTCATTGGTATGTGCAGGTTATTCCAAGGCCCCATCCAGAGCTCCTCCTCATCTGACTGGGTGCGGTCACTATGTGATCCTAAAGGGTCTCTCACCTCCTGATTGTCCACTGTGGACTCTTGTTCATCCCCATTTTGTGTTCTTTCACCCCCTCCTTTTGCCACATTTGATTTTGAAGCTATACTCTCTGGGCCTGTAGTGCTGGAGGCCAGGGACCCACTGGAAAGCCTGGTTGTGAGGTTCTGTTCACCTACTGAAGCGCCTGTGATTACGGGGCTGTTTAAAGGAATTCGCTCTTCGTGTGTGACAGCAAGTTTGTCTAGTTTCTTAAAGTGCTTTCCCAGTCGTATTGGAGAGTTGAGCTTGATGTTGTTGGTGTGTGCAACCCGTCGTGTCCGGATTATAGAGCCATTCTGGGCCAAGTATACGCTCCCATTAATGTTGCCGTGGCTGTTCACATTAGACAGGCGGTTCCTGTGCAATTCTGGTGCACTTTCTTCTCCAGTTGAACTGGTCTCGTATTCACGGTCTACAATAAGCTTGATCCTCTTTTTTCTACCATACTGAAAAAAAGAAAATGGGTGTGTAAACTGACAGCTTAAGAATAACAGACTTTTTATTTTTACACAGCACACAACAGTGGCGTTCTGTCCAAGGAGGAAAGTCTTCTCAAAAATGCACAAGTAATGATATAAAATTAACTGTTGATTTAATTGGTTTCTTAGTAGCGTGCATAAAAAATGCATATAATGTAAAAAGATCTAGGCCTATATTGCTATTTGTATGACGGCACTGCGTGATTTGTTAAATTTTTCATATATGATAAATATTGCTTTGCTTATCGGAAATACTGTTATAAAGTGTTAATTATCAAGATAACTTAATCAGAATAAATAAAGCAGGTTTAATGAATATTCAATTTAAACATGAGCTTCCCCAGAAGATTCCCTCCTGGACCACAACTGCTCGTCATTAAAAAGCAAAACAACCAACACACACTTAATGTCCCTTCATAAGCTCATTAAAAGTAATGTGCTCATGGACCAAATGTCACTGGATTACAGGAGTTTTAGAAAACACCAAACACTAACCTAATTTTGATCTGAACATTAATTGATGACCTAAACTTTTGAAGGGTGACCTCTAAAGGTAAGACTACAGATGAAATAGCATGCATGTTATTCAGCAAAGGTTAAGGAGAAATGCCAAGTTGTGCTCAGAGAGAGGAAAACAAAAAGAAGAACTCCAACCAGATGAAAGCATTCAAAAGGCCAATAAAAAGATCAACACAAGAAATAAAGGCAATGGCCAGTCTTACTGAACATATCAGAATATAATTCAGGAGGCTCCGACAGTCTCAGTTGTGTCTGAATTAGACTCCTCATCCTCCTCGTCTACTTTAAGGTTTCTTGCTCCATCTGAAGAGCTCGAACTATCACCCGGGCTACCACCTCTCTCTAGAGTCTTTTCTCCTTCTTCATTCTCATTTATAGGGGAGAGTTTGTCGATCTCTAAAGCCTTTGCTACACTACTGCTTATCATAGAGAATCTGCTCATGCTGTGGAAGTTTGAATCATGTCTTCTCTCCAGAGAATTACTGCTTTTAGACCTAGAGGACCTTGGATCCTTACTTCGGCCTTCTTCCATTTGCCCTCTGTCTTCCTTATCATCCTCACCCTCTTTCAGGATGGTCTCTTCTAATGTTTTCATGTGTGTGGATGTAGTTGCAAGTTCTGAAGATGATCTGCTGCTCTTTCTCTCGTAGGTAGAGGTTACTGATCTCTGGGATGTTGTGCTGCTGTGTCTGGGCCGAGAAGATCTGACAGATGATACTGTTCCTCTATCCTCCGATTTGACACTTTCTTTTCCACTGCTATCTTCCTCCGAGCTTGACTCGTTCTCTGTCCCCGATGTTCTCTCAGTGTCTGACTCTTGTTCCGTCTCGGTTTCTTTTTCAGTCTCTGCGTCTTGGTTTGAATCTGATTCTGTCATTGACTCTATTTCAGTGTCATCTAGCTTAGTTTTTGTTTGGCTCTCCCTGTCTGAATCAAGAGGACTCTGGTCTTGATTATCATCAGAGTCTAAACTACTCATATGTGCGCCTTCTTGGAGTCTGTATGGATGGGAAGGTGTGAATGACATGGAACTTCCAGTGTAAGACTGTTGAATGATGTCTTCCCTGCTCCTACCTCTTTCTTGCTCACTTTCCACACTATCACCAGGGATTCTCTGTGATTTCCGTTCTGACTCGCTGAGTGACCAAGAGGTCGGGATGCTTCCATTACTCCTATGATCTAAAGTACCGCTAACGCTGCTCAGAGAGTTCTTCTGAGTCTGCAATGTTTTAAAGATGTTCATCTGACTCAAAACTTTGCCAAGTCTTGTCTTTGCTGAAGGAATGGCTTCTTTAGTCTGGAAATAGTTGCCATCAATGACCATGCCATTGTCAACACTGTTTGAATGTTGCATTGTGATTGCTTTGGGGTCATCAGTCCCTCCTCCTTTCTCCTCAGGAACTGCAATTGGAAATATTCTATTGTTCTTCCATGGAAGGTGGAATGGAGCTGGGCTCGATCTTCTGTCAAACATTTGGCCAAGTTTTATAGGTGCTTTGAGTGAAGGTTCAGCCTTTGAGCCGTAAGGGTGTGAGATGCCTTCAACTAGTCCAGGCAGCTGTTGCTCAAGACTTGGAGGTTGGTCTCCAAAAGCTTGTCTAGGGGGCCTTCGTGGTGGAGCCTTGCCAGGAGGGGGAGCCGGCCTTCTGCCTTGCCTAGCAACCTATTACATTGATATTAGTCCAGGATTTTATCATTCAGAATATTTAATCAACAGTTCAGATCACCCATCATCTTTGTGACTTCACATGACCCATGTTAGCATTCCCCACTGCACTGAGAGAAGTGTCAAGTTACAGTATTACCCCCAGTACCACGTTGAATGCAAATGCATTTAACATGACTGGCTGCTGACCTTTCAAAGTGAAGTCACGGTTGGTGCCAGCAAAAATCATAATATGATCGAGGAGGGAAGGATGCCATGAACCAGGAATTGGCAATTCTGGTTTGGAGGGCTGCTGTCCTGCAGAGTTTAGCTTCATCCACAATCAAACACACCCGCTTGTAATTTCCAATTATGGATGCAGCAGAACTCTGTAGAAAAGAATCCTGAACCCTCCAGGACCGGAATTGCCCATCCCTGCTCTAGATGGTTACCCATGTTCTGCAAAATGACCCCAAATCACCCCAACCCTGCACCCTGAAGAAAATGTACTCTTGTGTGAGGGCCACCTTTTAGACATTACTGACTGATTATGTGTTTTCTGTTTACATTGAAACATCATTGAAAGCATATCAGAACATTCAAAGCAAAAAAAAAAAAAACCTTTTTGACTTTTTTTCTTTCTGCAGTGATGCAAAGTAATCAGCAGGATTTTTTTCTGTTCTAAGCTCAAATGTTTCATTTGATTGCACTACTTTTAATGTGCACACTTCAGTTTTTTCTACCTTGCTATTTGCAATGCTTTTCAAGTGAAGGTCAAGGTGCCAAAAGCACCAAAACCCTGACATGAGTCATGTGTAAGGGTCTTAAGCTAGAGGTAGGATAAACGTAACGTATTAAAAAAATACTGCACGTTGTATTGGTTTAAACTAAGAAAACAGAAAAAAATAAAAAATACAATTTGATACCTCTCCCTCGGATTCGTGTGGGCTGTAGTAGTAGCTGCCATCATCTTCCATAATCACCTCTCCATATTCATCATACATCCCTGTTGGAGAGATCAGCTTCCGTCGACTCCCATACTGAGGCAAGTCATAGCTAAAAGACAGTTATACATGATTATTGCATATACCTCACGCACGCACGCATGCACACACACATTTGAAAGTATTCCTATCATTATGGGGACATTCCATAAGTGTAATGTTTTATTTTTTTTACTGTATAAACTGTATTTCTATCCCCTTACCCTACCCCTAAACCTAGCCATCACAGGAAACTAAATCATTCTGTATGATTTATAAGCTTGTTTCCTCATGGGGACATAAAAAATTTATCCACAAAGTAAAAATGTACTGGTATTACTATACTTGTGGGGACATTTGATCCCCATAATGTTGTGAATACCAGTGCACACACACACACGGAAAATATTTATGAATAAATGAGCAAAAACTTTCTCCCTAACTGTCCCCTAAATCAAAACGAAAACGTTATGAAAGTTCTGGGACATTAAAATAAAAGGCAAATCCAATAAGTAAGATTTAGAAACATAACCTCATAGCACTATATGGAAAAGGTCAAAACAGACCTTCATTAAGGACTTTGAGTATTCTTGGGGAGCAGCAGGCTGGCTGAACCCAAATGCAGCTTAGGCAGCCCATTTAACAGGAAACAAGTTGAAATTCAGGATTATATTGATATTCTAGTTTGTAGCCATGGAGGTTTTCATTTGGATTTATTGAGATAAGAAGGATATATTGAAGACCAATGTGGTATACAGCAGGGGACTGCAACTGATCACATTTGTACAACCTACTGTATAAGGCAATAAGAAAACATGGCTAGCATTCAGTTTTGCTCAAATATCTTTGATAGTCAGTTAATTACCATCACCTCCCTCAGGGGGCCATTCATTTCTAACACCTATTTCTATTGTGTCCTGCTAATTGGCTTCCATATGGATATTATTGCTATTACAGCCAAAAAGACACAACCAGGAGACAAACGATGTTTAGAGAAAATTACACAATTCTTCATCTAGAAACCACATAAAATAAAGTCCTAGAAATCGTACAAACTGATTTATTAAATGCAGCAGGCTTGACACATATCTTAAAAATTGTATTTGGGCCAGCAGCACATTTCGATCAATGAATGCACACTCACCCATGATCATAATTGTAGTAATCCTGTGTATAATAGTCCTGTCCTGGGTCGATACCAGACTCCATGGAGAGTTCCTGTGAGCAGAGCAAAGAGTTATAATTCAAAGAGCGCATTGCTTTAGGCAAAATCCTTGGGGAAGACAGATGAAAGTGCTGCCCATTACAAAGAAGAAAAAAAGGAATTTCTGTATTTCTTCATTTGGTAAAAGCTACGTGGCTACATTAGCCCTTCTTGTGAGTGAATGCAAAAAAATTATATATATTTGTTTGTTATTTCACTTTAATTGCGTAGAAAAGAACTACATATTCGTGTTCATTAAATGACATACTACAGCACATTCAGCTCATTCAGAGTATAAACGTTGCGATTCTCTACCTCTGGTCTCAAGAGAGAGGGTCGAAGCAACTGCTGTTGCTGCACAGCATTCAGCAGAGAAACAGTGCAGAAACAAGAGAGAAAAGTAGGAATATTACACAATCTATGTGAGAATGAATGATAGAAGATATAAAATAAGTACAGTTGGATCCACAAGTCTGTGATTACACTGAAAACCAGCAACTGAAAATCTGAATTTAACCCTGCAAATATGCAAGTTTTAGGGTTTAGAAAAAATGTAATAAACATTTGAGAACGTCTTCGTACAAAAGGTCAGATTTTCTTACTTTAGAGAAGACATTCTGATAAATTGTGTTCATTTTAGTTCATTTATTTTGCTGAAATTACACTGATAAAAAAATTAGTGTGAAAGAAAAAGAACTAAAAACGATTCAGTTAGAAAAAGACTGATTTTTACTAGTGTTTTCAGACTTTAGCACCCCACTGTAGTTTTTTAAGGAAGAAATCACTTGATCTGTTTACATGCAAAGTTCTCAAGAATGTCTTCCATTAAAAAATAAAATAAAATAAAAAATAATGTAAAAAATAAATAAATAAATACTAGAGTTTAAAGAATTATATGGTAAAGCATTCAAAAATCTTACATATTTAGAAACAATGTTATAAACATTATTATTATAAAGCAGATAGTTCTTAATTCATAATTCATAATCTTAATTCTAGTTCTTAATTTATAAAATAATATATATTATCCACTCGCTTTATTGCTTTATTTAAACGCACTTTGGAATTCATAAAATCGAACCTCCTGAGAATATGAATATATATATACAGTATATATGAGAAATGTTATCAGCAAGTCAAACTCCAAATTCACAGATCTAGCCTTCAGCAATTTTACAGACGATATCTTGACAAATACTAATTTCTTCTGTCATCACTGTCCCTATCAAATAGCATCAACTGATAAAAATTATAAAAATGATGGCCAATAAAACTGTCTCAAGATGAGACATCATTCGAACAATGCAATTCCAAAGAATAAAAATACATACCTCCTGATGCCCGTAGCCTCTCCTGTGAGGAGATAATAGTATGGAAATAAAGTCAGTAAGATTATTACGATTAAACCTTGATATTTCATATCTAGAAAGTGTTTTAGTTCTTTATCTCAAACTGGACTGTCAGATGTGACAAAGTCTTTAAATGTTTAGCAGATTTAATGCATAAGATGAGACAGCGTTTCCTTGAGATGAGGTTTCAAGGACAATGTCTGTTAAGTTTTTTGCTAAGAACTGAGCGCGTATGTGTGGATAAATATGCAGATATACAGTAGTCTGAAACAAAACTTTCGGTGAGTATTTCACCTGAAAACTTGCTCACCAGTGGATTATCTGCAGTGAATGGGTGCCGACAGCTGCTAAAAACATCACGATGATTCACAAGATATATTTGTTTAGAAAAGTTTTGGACTGTTTTTGCTTTTAAACGGTGTTTGATCTTTGCATATTTCTCTCCTGATTCAGATGAGATGACTTTTTCACATATTTTGGATAAAAATGTCTTTATGGATTTGTTTGATGGATTTGCACCATGATGTTTTTGTCAGCTGTTTGGACTCATTCTGACGGCACCCATTCACTGCAGAGGATCCACTAGTAAGCACTGGTGTGAAGCTACATTTCTCCAAATTGGTTCCAATGAAGAAACAAACTCATTTGCATATTGGGTAGTGAGTATTATTATTAATTATGGGATTTGTGTTTCAGGGACGTTACTCTAGGGGTCAGTGGTGGGCACTAAATGGCAATGAAGCTCACAGGCCACATTGCATAATGAATCTGTGTTAACACCACTGATTCAAAGCAGACAATAAGACAATGACATGCCCATAGAGGAGAACATCTAGACACTGGTTCGCTGCAAGGACAAGTGGCACAACATTCGATGAATGTTAACACCCTCAAGCCTTTAATGACATTAGACATTATCATGTGTGACAATGCTTGGCACGCAAAGACAACCTAAAAAACAACAACATTTGATTACACTTTATCAGGTGTGTGTTAGGGGTACATAGGGTTTATATGGAGACAGGCCAGCATTTCCTAAGTGGCAGGACCATTTCACTGAAAGCGTAGCAAATTTAAATTCTCTCCAGGCAGCAGATCAGCAAGAGCAAATTACCGCAATTCTTCCCTGATGTGGGCATAATGAGGGATTCAAATGAAGATTTATCTCTTGACGATAATATGCGACTTTCAAGGGACTTTTGTTTTGTTGATTTTTCTCTCTTTATGTGAGTGCGTTTGCAGGTGTAATTACGTGTCAGTCCTTGAATGACATATGATATATTACATGATATGTAATTATAATTGAAGTATATAATTACATACTAATTATGTTATATAGTTATAACAAGGTCAAGGTACAACTGCATTTCCATCTTTTTTTTTCCCCTCAAAAAGGAAACTTACCAAAGCTAAATTAACCCTGCTGTGCTATATTAATTATCTGATCATCTTTCTCAATTCCTTCAAGGTCACACAAAGTAATTAAAAGATTAAAAATAATTTAGCATTAGCTGGCACGTTCTATTCTATGTGGAGTTTATTTTTATTAAAAGTAATGGGAGCCAGTACCACCAGTGACAGCATATAGAGAAAGGTATTACGAAGGCGTTGTTTTCAGCATCACGCAAATATAAATCATTTTGAACTATACATAATGTATTCATATTTACTATAAGTAGTTAAAATGTTAGAAAGTATTTTAAAAGGGCTGCACAAAAAAAAATCACTTATGCCGATTACAATACGCAGATTAGTTACATATCACATACATCAATATGTGATTAAACGTGTTATCACATTATTCTTTTGTAATTAAACACACTGAATTAATTTGTTCACAGCACTAATTTTAGACATGCATTCTTTTCTGCACTGCAGTTTGGCTTTTGCCATCTGCTTTGCCAGTGTTTGAAATGCTGACTAAACAGACATTATTAGTGACAGATTAATCTGGTTTGACTGTGCTAATTTTAACGCACAGAGAGCTTCCCTCCTCCCTCTGATTGCCATAAAGATGTTGTTTGTTCCCTAACACTGTTAATATGTCATGATGGCACTGCTAGTCCTAATGGAACATGGCACTACAGATTAGAAAAACAAATCATGGTATAAAATGGGAAAGTATGGCATGATGCGAGTTATCTGCAAAGAAAATTTGAAAGAAACAACAGTGCTTGAATGATAGTAAAGTAAAAACGTTTAGGTATTTACTAGTTTTAGTAAATCATCACCATCACAAAATAAGTTCTAAATGGTTTAATACATATTAGAAAGAAAAGAAAAATTACAACATTTAGTGTGAAGACCAAATCGGAATTCAAAAGGCAAATATTGATGATGGTTTTTGAATCCTGCACATTAATTGTAAATCAATGAGAGATTTTTCTGTCTTCACTCTTAAATTTCTTTCATATAAAAACAAAATAAAAAAAATACATAGCACACATAACATTGAGGTGATCTACAAAAAGTTTGAATGGAGTCTATATTAAGGGTCTGAATTTATAGCAGACATTTAATAGGGTGAGAGGTTTAAAACAACTGAGACATTTTTGAATGTGCTACAGCACAAGAACAAAAACAATATGGTATAGTTGTCTACTGCTGCAAGTCGACAATAATCGGATGTAATGGTGCAGCATCCATCCATAAGTATCATAACAATTAAAGCCGGGATTAGGAGGACATTTGCTGAATCGAATGCAGCGTGTTTCTGTTTAAATAAGTAAATGGAGGACATATCACCAATCAGAAAAGCTCTCTCTCTCACACACAAACACGCTCGCACTAAATTGATTTATCCAATAATTACAAGCAACTTGACGACTCCGTTGCCTCTCAAACCTCCTAAAGTGTGCACAGTCACGTACCATAGAGCCATTTAAAATTACAACAAACTTGTTTCTCTTCAGTGCTTTTCTAGTCCTTTCTAACAAAGGCAATTTGCACATCTAGCACAAACAGTTTGCAGCGAATGCTTGCACTGAGAGAGACACACAATGTACTATAACCGCTGTACTTAAAGGTGTAGTTCACCCAAAAATGAAAATCCAGTCATTAATTACTCACCCTCGTGTTGTTCCAAACCCGTAAGACCGTCGTTCATTTTCGGAACACAATTTAAGATATTTTTGATGAAATTTTTGATGAAATCTCTGACCCTCCCATAGACAGCAAGGTAACTACCACGTTCAAGGTCCAGAAAAGTACCAAGATGATCGACACATGCTCACATCATGGTACTGTCGTGAACGCGCGTCCACTAATGACGCAGTAGTTGTGACGAAGTGACGAAAATGTGGAATAAAGTCATTATTTTAGTTTTCTTTGAACAAAAAGTATTCTCGTAGCTTCGTAACTTTACAGTTGAACCACTGATGTCACACAATGTACTTTGTCGATCATCTTGGTACTTTTCTGGACCTTGAACGTGGT